TGAGGAGGCAGCACCCACTTGCCCTTCTTCCTGCTCAGCCTGGCACCAGTGTGTGTGTGCTGAAAGGGAAGCCCCGCACTTGCTCCAAAGCCCCCTTCCCCCCAAAGCAGAGGCAGGCCACCCTGGACCAGTGGGGGAAAGGTGGACAGAAATGGGAGCGTGTTTCCAAGGCGAGCGAGATCACCCAGAGCACTGCTTGCTCTGGATAGCCAGCCCTTCTCCTTAGTTGAGTAACCAGGGTTCAGGTGGTTCGTAGCACTTCTGGCCCTATCTTACAAAGTGCCTGAATGCACCACCTTTAGCATGATGGTGGTGCCCTCCCTGTATGAGGCATGCAGGAAGTACTTGAGGGAGGAGCTGCGCAAGGCAGGGCCACAGGTAGCCTTGCACTTCACCTCTGACATCTGGAGCAGCTGGGGTGGTGATCACGCCTACCTCTCCCTCACAGGGCACTGGTGCAATCAGTCAGACCGTCGGGGGGCTCTACTGCAAGCCGAGGTGCTGTATGAGTCCTACGTGGCCAGGGAGATCATGGGGGCCACGAACCACATGGTGCAGGGATGGCTCGTTGGGCAGGCTGAGCTCACCCATGGGTTCATGGTCACCAACAATGGGGCCAATATGGTGAAGGCTGTCTGTGATGCCAACTTTGTTGGCATCCGCTGTGTGGCACACGGGCTGCACCTCATAGTGAGGGATGCCTTGGAGGAGGACAGGGCTGCCAGTCACGGCACCACCACCGCTGCTGCTACAAGCCAGCTGATTTAGAAATGCAGGAAGATGGCAGGCTACTTCCACCGCAGCATCAAGTGGGGCAAGATGCTGTGGGAGATACAGACAGAGCTCAGCATCCTGCAGCACTGAATCATGCAGGATGTGGAGACTCAGTGGAACTCAACATATCTGATGCTTGAAAGGCTGGTGGAGCAACAGAACGCCATCCATGAGATGGCCCTACTTGAGGAGATTGAGATCAGTGGTCCCCTGAACAGAGCTGAGTGGGGTACCATCTCCCAGATCTTGGTGGTCCTCAAGCCCTTCATCGAGGCCACCAAGACCCTTAGCGCTGGTGATGCCCTCCTCAGCCACGTGATCCCCCTAGTGAGGGAACTGGAAAACCAAACGGAGAAGTTCCAGGGGATCAATGTTCCTGGCTGGGGCAGGCTGCTGTCACCAGATGTGCAGGCACTGGTGAGGCGGCTGAAGGAGGGCATTAGGAGATGGCTGGATCCCTTGTGGTCTTGTACAGTCCACATGATGGTGGGCATGTGTGACCCAAGGGTGAAGGGAAGCATGTGCATTGGCAGCACCAAAACCCTCGATCACTGGATGCAGGTGCTGGTCAATGAAGTCAGGGAGGCCAAAGTGCAGAGGTGAGGGGTTGTGGAAGAGGGGGATCCACTTTCCTGTGCCAGCACTCCCAGCACCAGCCAGTCTCCTA